TTTTTTCTTTTCTTAAATACAGTACAAATGAAAAAAAAAAACTTTAAGACAAAACTCACTTTACTTAAATCGAAGATTATTCCGAATACTACTTTAGAATGGAGTATCTAACTCTACGAGAAAAAATTGGAATGGTTCTGGTGTATGGAGAAGCTGGAAGAAATCTTGATAATGATGTCAATCTCTACGCTGAGCGTTTTCCAGATAGAATTCGGTCACGTGTTTCATTTTATCGTACGAAGGGAACAGAAAACTGCTACGTCCACGTCGTTGTTCCTGGGTTACGCTAAAAGTAAGTTTCTTGAGAAGTAATTAATGAGTAATAAAAAATAATGAGAAGTTTGTTTTAAGACTAATTTCGAGTATTAACAATGAAAACGTGGTATTTTTATTGTTAATGTATTGCAAAATCGTAAGCATGGGTTCTCAGTAAGAGAAATCGAAGAAATAGAATTTCGTCGATTACAGCGCCATCTATCATAAATCGAGAAAAATGTTTCAGACAAATTGTATGTGTTTTTAGCCAAAGATTCCGAATATGCAATAAAAAATAGGGGTTCCCATTTAAGATTTAAAACTTGCCCCCCCTCACCGCCCAGGGGGCGGGGTGGGGGGTCTGATTTTAACGTCATTGTATGTCCCCTCCCCGAAATGATGAAATTTTGATTCTTAACATTTTTTTCGTAGTGTGCTTATTTTTTGAGATATTTGAATGTCTCAAGTTAAAAGCATCACCCTGTATAGCGATGCGAACGAATTTATTTTATTCACATTATTATACCAATTTTTTTCATTTTTTTATAATATTTTTTTGCGATCAGCAGCGTTCGAATATGATCGGTGAATCAGACGTCGCTAGCAGCGGTTTCTGAAAAAAAGAGAATAAAAAAACTTTTTTTTACCATTATTCGGTTTTTTTTTCAGCGGAGAATAATATGCATTGCACTAGTCACCCTAAATACCTTATGGCTTATATTTTGATTGCGTTGACGATGATGAATTCATTAGCGACTTTGATGCTTTTTCGCCAGGACATTCCCAATATCTCGGGTTTTCCTTCGATTGTGGTGGGGGACTTGGCGGACCTTGCTGTAAGGGACGGTACCCCTTGCGCTCGATCGATTTTCGACGTATATATTCTTTTACTCGATCCATGTCTTATCGCTCGTAATCGAAGTTTACGATTAAACGAAAAAAACTTTGTACACTGTTTATGTACACTGTTAGATCGGTGGTATGTCGTGACGCGCTAAGAGAAGCGCCGATATTTCGGCTGCTATACAAAAACATAACTCTTCTGCAGTAAATGTGGAAGCAGGATGTGCAGGTATCCACACAAAGGCGAATACTCCGAGTCGAACGCATCCCCCTTTTTTTTGTCAACGATTTCTCTTTTATTACTTGAACATGCGTTCTCTCGTCTAGATAATATTTACTTAAATTCTACGATCGACAATCTAAAAATTAAAAGCTACGCTTTGTGATCCCATATTTTATTTTACCAACTTCCCGTTGTTTGACGAGAAAACGCCCTTCAACTTGCTTTTACGCGTTTGGAAATATGATTTTCTCTACATGGTTTGCCATAAATTTTTATTGCCATGGATCTGACGATTCTGAGGATCTATGTTTTTTGCTTATGTTTCCAATATCGTTGGGAAGATTTCTAATGACACGTTTCTTGAATATTGCCATGCTGGCCGATCGGTGACGTTCGAGTTTTATGTTCGTGCTTTGTCCTAACGACTATTTTTTGTCGGAATTTTCACGAAACGGAGAAATCGTGGAGTCCACTGGACATAACGAAATATATATAGATCATAAGGGCTCGACACTTCAGTTGGTGCCTTGAAAAACTGTCGAATCGATCGCAGTAAGAGCAGTGCGAAAAGTGTGGCTAACCCAAGTGAACAAATTAAAAAACTATTTGAACAGTATTGTGATTTAAAGACTAAAAAAAGACATGGAAAACCACGAGCGAGTGGAACGCGAACCGCTGGAGCAGTGCGGCCAGGTCGCTACTCTGGTGGAGTGCTTCGCGTGGTTGCAACGATGCGACGAGTGCATCGAGCGGCTCGAAGAACTTTGTCGTGCCAAGCGTCCGCGTTTCGCCGTTGGACATAGACAATCCGTGGTGGCGAGGATCGCGCGACTCGAGGGTGTAAAATCGCAATGGGAGCGACGGTTCGTGCACATTGGTGGTGGCCACGCGAGTGGTGGAGGGCACGCGAGTGGCAACGAGCAATCTCTCGTCTGGCGAGAGATTGATGTCGCGTTTGAAAGCCGTATATTGACGGGCGCTGTGTTAAATTCTAATTACATCGAGCCGCGGCGGTTTTTAGAAGACGCGAGAGAAATAGTGCTCGGACAAGTTCGAGACGCTGTAGAAAGACACGGTAGTGCAAAAGTGATTACCGCGTTTAACGGTGAGTTCGCGACGAAAGATAAACGTGCCATTAAGAGTATAAATATTAAGAACATTGAGATATACCGATACACCGATTTGCGCGAGTGGTACGAGCGGCACGTCATCGAGCCCACTTTGACATCGCTCCAGAAGAGTTCCAAGAACGTGACAGCGAGTGGGCGCTGTCGCGAATCCTCAATTTGACTATCAGCGTGAATAAACTAAACCCCATGCGCGCGGGATGTCATGTCGAAGTGCCGCGGGAAATAGCGACGAAACGAGCGGTGATCAGTGTGCGTACGGCGGACAATGCATGCTTCGCGTGGTCGGTAGTCGCCGTTCTGTATCCCGCAGAAAGAAATGTAAGGCGAGAGTCATCGTATCCACATTACAAGGCAGTGTTAAATTTCACAAACATCGAATTTCCAATGATATTGAAAGATATTCAAAAATTCGAACAATTGAACGACATATCGATCAACGTGTATAACATCGAGAATAAACGGGTCCTTCCTGTACGGCTTACCAGCGACAAGAAGGAGAAACACATTAACGTGTTGTATTTGCAAGATTCACGCAACGACGGTGTAGGCCACTTTGCGTGGATTAAGAACCTGTCGCGCCTCGTGAGCTCGCAACTCTCGAAAAAGGAGCACAAGAAATTTTTCTGCGATCGGTAAGTATACGTAAAAAAAAATTTATAATTGTCCTTTATATTAATAAATGATAATAATAATTTATATGCGTTTTTTTTCCAGATGCTTGCACTACTTTAGTACGAGCAAAAAATTGGAGCTACACGCAATGGACTGCAGAAAAATTAATGATTGTGCCATCAGACTGCCGAGCGAGGACGACAAATGGCTGGAATTCGACAACCACCGTAATAAGGAGCGCATTCCAATCGTCGTGTATGCCGACTTGGAGTGCGTTCTACAGAAGACGGAGTCCGACAAGGAAGATGCGTCGTACACATATCAGCGGCACAAGGTATGCAGTGTGGGCTACTACGTGCGTTGCTCGTACAATGACGCGTTGTCGAAATATCGTTTTAGTCGCGGTAACGATAGCGTCGCATGGTTCATCGAGGAACTCAGAAGTTTAGCGCATCGCGTAAAAGATATTGTATCCGCCAACGTGCCCATGGAGGCATTATCAAAGCAGCAATGGGAGACATATCGCGTGACAAGTTGTCATATTTGTGAGAAACCGTTCGCACCGGACGATACACGGGTCCGCGATCATTGCCATTTTACCGGTCGTTACAGGGGTCCCGCGCATTCAAATTGCAATTTAAATTATAAACTTCGCTGTATATTCCGGTTGTATTTCATAATTTATCGGGGTATGACGCGCACTTTATAATTAAAGAAATAGCTACCGCGTACGACGGACAAGTAGATGTATTACCGATTACGAAAGACTGTGTATGACGACTGTGTATGATAAAAAACGTTACGTTATACATTATCGCAATTTACAGCAATGTATTCGTCATGGTCTTCGCGTAACAAAGATCCATCGGGTGCTACAATTCGCTCATCTCCATGGCTCCGCGATTATATTGAACTTAATACAAATTTCAGAACTCACGCCAAAAACGATTTCGAAAAAAATTTATACAAATTAATGAACAACGCGGTTTTCGGAAAAACCATGGAGAATGTGCGCAATCACGTCGACGTAAAATTATTAACAAAATGGGACGGACGATACGGCGCGGAGGCACAATGATCGCGAAACCGAATTTCCAAAGTCGTAGCATCGTTGCGGAAAATTTAATCGCCGTCGAACTGCGTAAACTCGAGGTGAAGTTCAACAAGCCGATTTACGTGGATATGTGTATACTCGATATATCGAAAGTCTGCTTGTACGAATTTCACTACGACTACATGTTACCACTGTTTCACGATAAATGCAAAATCATGTACACCGACACGGACAGCCTTATATACCGTGTCGAGTGCGAGAACATTTACGAGACTATTAAACGCGATATCGCTAGATTCGACACAAGCGATTATCCGGCGGACAACGCGTACGGTATGTCTCTCGCGAATAAAAAAGTACCAGGTCTTATGAAGGACGAGAACAACGGTATGATAATGACCGAATTCGTTGGACTCAGAGCGAAGATGTACGCGGTGAGGGTAGATGGCAAAAAGGACACCAAAAAAGCGAAAGGTGTAAAGAGTAACGTAATAGCGCGAACGATAACGTTCGACGATTACACGCGGTGCTTGAACGAAGAGATGGAAATGACTCGTCGTCAATCGTGTATACGATCTAAACTGCATGAGGTATACACGATATCCGAATCGAAAATCGCTCTGAGTCCATACGATGACAAACGGTACGTCGTACCGGACTCGACGGAGACGTTACCGTGGGGACATTGGCGGATACCTTTGTAATTTATATATGCATTAACATTTATATTACTATTATGTTTTTTTTTATACTCTTATATTTTTATATTTTCATACATTTATTATGTATTACTATATCTTATGTATTATCGTAATTTGTACTTTGTATATGTTTTCCTACATTTTTTTATTTTTTTATTTTTATATAGTGAATATGTATTACTATTATGTATCACTATCATTATAATTTCGTCATGTATGTTTTTTACATTTATATAAGTCTTACTATTATATTTTATATAATACCATTTATTATATACTATTATTTTTCATTTCATGTCTCGTACATTTATAAGTACTTTATATAAATCTTACTATTACGCGTTATATGTATTACTATCATTTTTCATTTCATATATCGTACATTTACAAGTACTTTATATAAGTCTTACTATTACGTTATATGTAATATCATTTATTATGTATTACTATTATTTTTCATTTCATGTATCGTACATTTATAAGTACTTTATATATGTATACTGCAAAAACGAAGATGGAAGGGATAATAA